ATATATCATATAAGCTGACAAATGTGGACAGTGAACAACAGTATTGTAGTGTAAACGACTTTACAGGACATGATACAAGATGCTTTAAATTAAATTAGAGTAGGGACCAATCCAGTATCATTCTTGGGTGCCAATACTAACCTAATTCACATATTTGATATTNNGTACAGATCCAGATTCCATAGTCTGATGGTTTTATGAATCATAATAATATATGCAAATTTAATGTCTACTATTGTATGCATTTGGAACACAGCACACGTTTTTAAGGGACTTAGAAGCATGTTTTAGTAGCAGTCATATAACATTGGGTTGGGTTTGTTATGTCAGTGATTTGGTCAGTACTGAAAACACACTCCCAGTGTATGTGTGTAAACTCCTCTCATTAGTGTTTTTCTGTCTGTCACTCTTTCTGTTATGATCCTTATTTGAGTGCATCACTTGCTGTTAGTTCTTAATTTTTGCAGTTACAATTGGCACCCACCTAGATATTTTGCCAAACCAGTCACGCAACCACCACCTAGACATTATAGAAACTGCAAAACATTAACACGACTCAATTTCGAACTAAATGATCACATACTGCTCAGCATCACTGTTGCATGTTTGAATTGTTGTCAGAAAATACAGTTGTAATTGTATTTGTAAGTTATTATACTGTGATCTGTCAAGCATCCTAACTGTCATGTAGTGTAAGGGCACTTGTGAATAGCAGCCAGTTGCTGTTTTTCTTTAGCACTTTGATGACCTGTAGTTTTTATTTTCCTGTGCCAGTTGATTAAAAACTGAAGCTGACATTTAAAATATTGGTCTTGTTTTCCTTCTGAGCAGCCACACAGGTTCCTGCACTTCCACAGTTAAAAATAGAAGTACTAACATTAAAATACTCCTCACTAATACAGCTAGCATATTAAAGTTTCGCTCCAAAAAAAAACTGCAACAGTAACAGCTTTTTAGCACCGGTTACAGTGGCATATAAAAGGACAAAAACAACATATGGAGCAATACTTTAAGACCTATTTCACATCCATACTGGCAGAATACAGTACAGGAAGGAAAATCAGTATTGGTTGCATGTGGGTTTTGTTTTGTAGTTGTTACAGCATAATAGACATTTTTCCTAAAAACTAATTTATAAGTGAGACTGAAAAATGCAACTTTATACAATTTATATTAAAGCTGCAGCAGGTAACTTTCATAAAAAATAACTTTTGTCATATTTGCTGAAACTGTATCCTGACAGTAGAACATGAGACAGATAATCTGTGAAAAATCAGGTTCCTCCTAGTGCTCCTAATGGCATTTGAAAGAATCAACCGGGCCTGAACGAAAAACAACCAATCAGAGCCAAGAAAGATATAAAGATGCTTTGGGTTAGATGCTTGAAGATAGTTAAAAAATCTTTTTTTTCTCAATAAGACTCAATAATCAACTATCTTTCTTGGTTCTGATTGGTTGTTTTCATTCAGGTGGATTCTTGCAAATGCCATTAATAGCACTAGGAGAAGGCAGAGAACCTGTTTTTTTCACAGACTTTTTAAATAGACACTGTGGTTTAGGAGAAGACAGCTAAGAATCCTGCTCTGCTAATGGCAGACAGAAGTTAGAGCTTGAGTTTTGTAAAACCTTTTTTGATAAATTCAGTAAACTAAATCAATTCACTCTGGGTTATAGCTTTTTCTTTTAACAGTTCAATGAATACAGTGGGATGTTTTGTTCAGTTATTTACATGGAGAAATTGCGACAGAAAGCCTCTTTTGACTATATCTGACTATAGCTTTATATATGAAAAGCTATAGTCAGTGTGCACTATTGATAGATTGCAATTGATGATTTCTTGTGGATGATATGTGTCCTTGTAAACTTTTGTGCCCTGGACACTTGGGTTACTGGGATCCCTTCCCTCGGCTGTGTGTGCGTGTGTGAGCATGTTTGGGCAAGTCCATGGCATGGGTACAGATCGTTCTGTGGTATAAAAATGTCAGTAAAAATAATATTAAAAAAAGAAGTAAAATTGAAATGCAGTTTTCATATCCAGTTGCCATGACATAACCCATACATAGCCTATTGGTAAACTATCTCTCTCCTGTGTTTCTGTGTCTCATTGTGTTTATTATTAAAATAAAACAATGTATGTATAATTTTTATGACAAACAAATTTACTGTATACCATTTTTGTATACATATTCTTTGTTTTTGTCTTTACGAGTGGCATAAAGGGAACCGTAACCTTAAGTTAATTATATAACCCTGAGTTGTAAAATTAAATTACCTTGTAAATTTACAGTGGGAAAAATATTTCAGTGGCTCCTTCCACTTTGCTGCTCTATTGACCAGATGGCTTCATGGGGCTAACACTGGCCCTCTAATGCAGTGATTCCCAATCTCCTTCTTAAAGGGCCCTTGTTCTGTCATTTATTAAACTGACGACCTCTGACTCAGGGATATATTTTATGGATATTTCCTGTTATATTCAAAACTGTACAATGAACCCAGATAGTGAACTCAGTAACTGCAAGAAGTTTGTGTAAAACTATTTACAGGAGATTATTTCCTGTTTATGGGACATTTTATACAATTTTCTGTCTGTATTATGTCTTTCTTAAAATCATTTTTAACAATCATTTATACTTAATAGGCTTCTTTTTTATGCTTGGCCATTGTTCTATTAGACAATTTGCTTTACTTTGCATTTACTTTTCTTCACAGAAGTAAAAAAGCAAAGTTAAATACTGAGATATAGGTCTACTGTGCATATTTTTTTAGTTTTCTTACACGTCTTAAAATCAAGAAGGCCTTGTGATCTCCTGTGAAGCTTTGGCGACTCCACTTTGAGAACCACTGCTATAATGGTTATTAAACACAGCGTCAGGACTTACCTGGGTACTTGCCCCCGCGACTCCTCTTGATGAAGCAGACGATGAGGAGGATCAGTATGATGAGGGCGATGGCACACATCAAGCCAATGAACCAGCCTTGAGTGGCTATGTCTACCTGGTCTATATAGGCTGGAGACACACGCAGACAAAGGGTGGGACAGGAGAGTGAGAGAAGAGTGGAAACAGTGAGTGTTTTTCTGGACCATGGTGAGTCACAGCTAAGGCATCAGACAATCTGTTTTCATCCCAGAGCGCTCTGCAGAAGTCAACAACTCAGAACCAACATATCATTGTATGCCTCCGAGCCCACATCCAGGATGATTTTGTAAAAATAATTCCATCCATAACAATAAGGTGTTTGTCCTCTTTTCCATAACACAGTGTGTGAATTTTAATCAGGAAAGCGTGGGAGATGGAGGTGTGTGGTGTGAAAGTAATTGTCACTTCCAATACACACAGAAAGATTTCCGCACAATCTGAAAGAATACAAATTCTGAAAGCTGCCAGAAATTTTTACTCTGAGATTTGTATAAATATTAGCACTGAATTTGAACAAATGATGACAGCAACATTTATAATATTCCATAAAAGGATAAAAGATTCTAATCAAAACTGGAGGCCCAATTATAAGAGGTCTGACATGCCAGATCAGACAAAGAAAGCTAATCTCTTCATTAGAAAAATACCACTTTCCAAGCAGAACAGTCTTGTCAATGTGTGATAGGACCCAGATAGGAAACTCCCACTGTCCTAACAGAGTGCTACAGGGATGATGTATTTTAGGCATCATCCTCGTTCCGTCGACAAAAAGACAATGAGATTGTTCCATTGGATTTTGGATTATCTCAGAAAATAAGCTTTTTGAGCTCTAGCTGTGGTTTATGATACTTACACCTTTAATCCAGCAAGATAATCTACACAAACACCACATTTAGCCTATGTTTTTTAAAGCATAAATCGGATCAGAAGTTTTCATCGTGTAACCGACAACCTCAGTAGTCTCCTTAAGTCTCTTGTTAGCAACTGCCTTTTTTAAGTAAAAGCTTGAAAATTCATAGGTGGAGTACTTACTGACGTATTTTGTCATTGGACAAAACATTAAAATCTGTGTTATTTCAGGCATTTACCAAAAATCTATTCAAAAAACCCATTTACCTCAAGGAGAGCGAACTAGGAACTAGGTATAAAAATGAAAAACTCATCTCCGGGTTTTAGGACTCATTCCTGCAGCACTCTATAGCCAGTTAGCTAAAACTGATTTTTTTTGTACATTTGGTGTCCATTTTGGAGGCCTATAACTATTGGACAATTAATACCCATTATAACTTGTATTTTTTAAACGTGCAGTGTAACAGTCATCCTACCTGTGTGGAATAAACATTTTTAATTTTAGGAGGCTAACAGTACAGTTACTGATACATATAATTAATTTAGTCTTTTGGTGACTTATTTAAGAGTTTTGAGCATTCAGTGCCACCACTAAATCACTTAATCTCAAAAAGTTAAGTTTTCAACAGAAATCATGAATCTTGGTGAGTAATTTCACTTTCACAGTTCCTTGAACCAGTAAGCTAATGGAGCTAACTCTTTAACCTCCAGAAGCTCAAACCATTCTGTCCACACTCACTGTCTAATGTTGTTCTGTATTGTTATAGTTATTTTATGAGGCTTAGAATTATACTTCTATATGTTGTACCCTTCCATGTGCATTTTGGACAGAAAGACCTAGGTAATCATGATAATTTGAATATATTTGAATAAATCTGTTATAAAGTTATTCTTTAAAAATAAAGTCTAAAAATCATACAAATTTTAAGCGGCACTACAGTTTATGTAGGTTATTAATATGGTTATGGTTATGTTATATACATGTCTATACAAACTAATCAAAGTGTACATTTTCTTGTCATGTAAACAATTTATGAGCATTTACTTGTGAAGATGTGAACATATGAGTTGTCTAGAAAGTCACACACAGAGTCTGAATATAAAAGGTCCATCTCACCAAAATGTAACTTTTACTTCCACTCATAAATTAGATACTGCTCATAAGGACAACCAAGTTCAAGTCTGATCGCATCCGTATATAGAGGGTTGAAAAGTCTCAGTGACTCACTTTGGTTTACCTTTGGAAGAACATGCATGGTATTGAAAACAAACCATAATAACTCACCCAGCGTTGACTGAGTTACCGTAGATACTACTACTGACGGACTTGCAACCAGAGTAGCCCACCTGGCTGGAAACCCGGTTCCACCTGGCCAGGTGGGGCCTCACCTGCTTTGGTCTTAAAGGTGACAGATTTGCTGCTGACGCTGTTGAGCTCATGGGAGTAAACCCTCAGATGGTACTTGGCGCCTGCGATCAGATCCGCCACTGTAATGGGGGGCTGTTGTTTCACCGGTACAACTTTCACCGTCTTGTCGCCTTGGAGACACAAGAAAGGGGCCAATCACACTCCAGGGGGTGTGACCTTCATTCCACACTAACAGCTGTGCTTGCTAGCAAAAGTTACGATTTCTCTGAGTGATGGCAGGGTTACTGAACTGAATTGAGACTGATAACAATGCAGTGCCCACGCCCATCATAAGGCTTCATTCACCTTATTACAGTATAAAAGCATACATATGATGTACTTTAATACTTCTAGCTATTACACCCAACATGTATGAGCTGCAACTCTTTGAAGCTCACATTCTGGTTCATTTTCCTTTTTTGGCTCTGAAACTAAATTTTCTCTCAAGGGCATAATTCTCCAGAGAAAACTCATCTAAAAATGGGGAGTGGAGAAGAAGAGAGGCACAAGGAGCAGGTGTTCCTTCAGGCAAAATCACAATTAAACTGTTACATGAATTGTTCAGGTAGAATTGAAAGTGATAATTACACAACTTTCTTTGTTCTAAGGTAACATCAGAGTTCCACAGTGGCAAGGCATTGTTTGTCTCAATTATTTACAGGCCCACACTTATCTCCACAAGGTCAAACACAAGAGAACAGCGACAACAACCTGCGTCTTTCCGGTGGAAAGACGTGCTGGTCATGTGGTCATGACATGGCCGAGCTCTGAGCATGACTCTGGGGTTGCAGTGAGAGGGAAGGGCAGCACGAGGTGGTGGTGTCATGCACCATGCTATCAACCATTTCATACGGTTGATGTCATCCAACAGAACTCAAAGCCATGCTATTAATACCAGTCCTTGAACCAGCCAAACAAAACATCTAATGCAGACACAAGAGAAGACATGCCAGTCCTTTTTTACATAATCATTGAAGTACTATAAGAAAGGCTGATGTTTAGTATTACAAATGCAAAACCATCTGTATTATTTTAAGGTTACTGAGACTGAGAATTATATATTTTTTCAGACTTTCACTTGATCAATCCCAAATGTTGCTATATTGATGCTGCAGAGATATTACCACAGTGTATATCACTTACGATCTGCAGTCTTGCTGTAGCTTGTGACTAACACAAGTGTGCATTTTTAATGTATTTTCACAATATTTTGTGAAAAGAGCAGAATTGCAATTGGTGCAAAAAGGTGAATGTGGCTTCTTTTCTCTCTGTGTACTGTGACACATTTTAAACCCCATTTTAACATTTCCATAATTACTGATGATTACTCTGGGGTTTCTGGATGGTTCAAGAAAAGAAAAACATTTAGGCAAAAAGTAAAAAAAAATTCCCATGAGCAAATATTTTGATATAAGGTAGGATGTAACTCATTTGACAGTCCTCCTTCTAATATGTTCCACTATCATGTTTCAAGAAATTGCCTATTGCATCACCATTTCCTGATAAGCAAATTGATTTTCTGTTTATGAAACAGAAGAACAGGGTTCATTTTTAAATAAAAGCCTGCATTTAAAGGCAGGGTAAAAACAGAAATTTACCTGTACTCCACATAATACATTCAGCGTTTATGGTAGTTTAGACTCACAAGCAACTATGTGGACACAGAAACTATAATTGGAGTTTTGGCCATCTGTCAAGCCAACATATGTGGGCCCCACAGGAGTACCAAGTGGGTTTGGGGGCCAAAATGGGCATCTTATCTGGGGCCCACTTGGGTCAGCTAAGTAGGGCGAACCCATGTGGGCTCCCTTTTGTGGGACCTAGTTGGGTCACTAATGGTAAATGCAGAATGCCCACTTGGGCCTCAGTGTAATCCTGCATAAAGCCCATGACATGGGGCCTTTATAGACGTATATATGGCCCATTTTTCAGCCCATCTAATACCCACATGGACCCCAAATATAAATGTTGGCTTGGTGGTGGGTATCATCTGTCTACTAAATTCTTTTTGGTATATCTTTGTGTTTCCATGGACAGTGTTGCCTTGCCGGGGAGGGATACATCCTGGTAATGGCATGTATTTTTGTTGCTGGTTCAAGTAACCACTTAGTTGTTATCGCGAGACTAATGGTAGGTGTTTATAAAAGCAACTGTTCCAGTGGATTTGGGTTATGGAAATGTGCTTTGTCCTAAATTTACCAAGATTACAATTAAACATGGAGGAAGTGTTCAGTTTCCATTAACAACAAGCAGTCTACTAAAATATGTTTAAAATGTTTAATTTATAAAACAAAGGAATAAAGGCCTGTCTGCAGTATTTCACCTGATTCAAATAACGGCACAGCTCTCTGTAAATAAATGCTGTGGTAAAATAAATGCTGTGGCCACTATGTGATCATTTACAGGACTGTACAACATTTCCTGGATTATATAATAAGTCTACTGTATCTTTTAAAATGCAAATTGTGGCCACATAAATATGAACATTAAGCTAACCCTAATCCATCTTTAAAGTATGTATATGACAGTACTGAACTACAAAGTGGTCCTGCCATTTTTACGTCATTATCATGTGAAAAGTCAAACCACTATGGTTATACTTTAATTTAAGCAGCACCTCCTCTCACTTTTACTGCAAGTTATCTGTAGACATTGACAGTTTTCAAAAGAATTTTGTGATAACAAGTTGAAATAGAAATATGTAGCTGCATTTTCATGTAAAAAAGTATAGCACTTGTGCCCTCACCATTATTCCCTTGTTATTCCCTTTTGCAAGATTTTTAGTTACTTTTCCCAGTTTTACTCTCTTATGCCACCAAAGAGTCATCCTCCACCTAAACCCTCCTCTGACAGACATGCAAAGACTCCTGAGTCACGGTCAGAAAGACAAGGGGAGGATGACAGCAGGATTATAGGAGTTGGAGGGAGTGTCAGGGGCTCCCTGCCACTCTTCCTTAAAGTCAAAGCTTTCAGATTTGACCTTGGAGGACAGGGGATGGGTGGGAGGGGTGGAGACCATTAGATCAGTCTCATCATCCCCCTCTCCTCCCCTCCCTCTGTCCATTTCTCTATCTATTCACATTCAGACATCATTAAGAATTAAAGCCACTGCCAAAGTACATGAAAAATACATCCTCCCTTCTTCTTCTTGATCAAAGATCACAGACTGTTGAATTGGCAGAAAGCAATATGAGAGTCTAGCGCCACACTATCCAATCTCAACCAGCTCTGGGATTCCAGAAAAGGAGGGATGATGTGTTTTTATAAAGCAAGCTTTAAGAGTGCTTCACACCCAAATCAAAAGCAAAAACAAGTGATTATAGAAGCGTGGATTGCCAGAAAAGTGACACATTCAAACAGCAATTACGAGAGAACAAGATGAACAGCCCATTCAGAGCGCTGGTCAAACAAGAGCCATTCAAAGCCAGGCAGTGTGTTGAACAGAAACCATCGTGATGGTGCACTGAACAGGAAGTCACATGATGATGATCAACATTTTCCAACAAATAAAGACCAAAGAGAGATAGAAAGAGTGCAAGAGAAAAAGACAGACTGATATGTTGTACTTTCCTAACAAGGTGCAAATTAAGACGTCAGCAGTAAGGTACAAATATCACATCCTTAAATAAAAAGGTTGAACATAGCAGCAGCCTCTGCTGTAGTTAGGTTATCTCTGTTTTATTTAAAAACGTAACACCAAAAAGATATTTTCTTTTAACTAATGTCCTCACATTCCCTTTTATTTCATGCCCTTTATACTCTTCACACATCAGCTTGTTCTCTCTATTACTTATTTGTCTTGTCAGCGAATGGGCGAATGGTTGCCTAATAAAGCTCTCCATTAAGGTTGCTTTGACAAGGACACATTTCAGCAAAACTCTTGAGCAAGGAATTTCTCAGGTACCAAAAACCTGACATTGAGGTGTAACTGAAATTGTTTATATGAGAATAAGGCAATATTTATTTAATGAGAAGACAATTGAATCATACTTTATGGGGGTAATTGTATTGAAAATTCTGCTGCTAAGTGGAATGAATATCCGTCTATTGGGGATTTCCGTAAATAAAGATGAATTTAAGAGACATCGAGGCATTTCTCTAACCCCCAGCACTTAACACCTTAGGTAAGCTAAGGCTCATGTGAAAAGGATTAAACAAATCTAGTCTTTGTCAAATTTTGGATTTTGTTTAAGTAGCTAAATGTGGAATTATACAATATCAGGCCTTTTAAAGTTGCATTCAATTTTTTACATCTTTACATTCAAGTTGTGTTTGCCCCTTTGGAAACAAAACTCCCCTATAAGCTAAGCTAAGCTAAGCTAAGCTAAGCTAAGCTATAAACTGTGGGTTAATTGCTAAAAGCTATACATAGTCATCTGACCCATTGTTCATATAAAAGATACTAGGTGCAGCTTTAAAATGATAGCTGGTCAAGTCTTAAACCTCAGATTAAATTGAAGGGTCAACTATATTCTTATATAGTGTCTCGATAATTTCATTACCTTTAGATATATTTTGATACATATATTTTGCAAGCTCTCTTTGTACTTATTATCATCTTCTAACACCACTGCTCTGGTTGTTTTGCTCTAATAATTAAGTTAAGATCTAGCTTTAGGTTTCCATAGCTCAAGTTGGGCTTGGGCTGGTTTCTTACTGTCCAGTGTGAACTCTAGCACAAACTCGCTGCTGCCGGCCGGGAAGTTGTGTCTCCAGCTGACGTTAGCGTAGTTACTGTTAGGCTCCACCGTCAGATTCCAGATCTCCCGCCCAGGGACCACTACATAAGGGAAGGGGGGGGGGGGGGGGTCAGGGGTAAAGGGTTAAAGGTCAGGGGCAAGGGGGAGAGGGCACAGTTACAACAACCACACACAGGGCTTAATTTAGACCTACGCATGGTGCTAGCACTAAGGAAGTCGAATGATCAATTTAATGGTACGCTCAAAACTAGAAGTAAATTTAATGTGTTCATGGACAGAAAATTCACCCACAAGATAATTCCAGAGGATTTTTCAATTCATGAAACACTAAGCTGCAATGCTTACAAATAGTTTAGAGTGGACTCCAATGCTAACTGAACCTAAAAAACCCTCAAAAGGCCAATATCACAATCCTTATCAGGTGAAATAGGCAACCCTCATCACTCTAAGGTGTTGAAGGGTACTCAGAACAAAATAAAAAAAAAGGTTGGATTCTCACTTCCTGACCAGGAGGATAGTTGCTGGCTACATCCCAATATTCTGAAGTAATTCCCCACTTTTTGTACAGCAGGTATGGAGCAGCTTATCGGGATGCAGCCTTCATGTAGTTTCCTATTTCGTCAGGTGGGAGAAGGCAATCATCTTTTGATATCCATGAAGTGCCATTCATGGACAACTAAAAACACTAGAAGGATAGTAAAAACCACAATGGGACAGCAGCATGTACCCAACACATTCTGATCGGTATGCTTGGTGGTGACCAGCACAGGAGGTGTGGTGGTAGTGGTCGCCTCAGTTGTAGTGGTGGTAGGAGTAGTAGTAGTAGTAGTAGTAGTAGTAGTAGGAGGAGAAGTCGTAGTTGTAGGAGTGGTAGAAGCTGAGGTACTAATGGTTGTAGGAGCGATGGTAGTAGGAGGAAGAGAAGCGAGAGGAGGAGGAGTAGGAGTGAAAGCTGAAGTCACGGATGCATCGGTAAGCTCGACTACAAGGGAAGGAGGTGGGAGAGAGCAAAGGGTTAAAGACAAGGCAGCAGGAACATCAGACAGGTGGACACACACTGACACACACAAGAGAAAGTCAATGAAGTCCTGAGCTGAAAACACACATGGAATTCTCAAAAAGCAGCAGTCATCACCGTGCACATCACACGCCTGAGTAAGTCAACATGAGTCAATAAATGCTGTATAAGTGTTTCCTACTTAATATCTGCTGGGATCCACACACACTTTGACTTAGATGCCACTGCCACCAAGAGGACCAATGAAGCTATTACAACATGACTGTCAGGGTGCAAATGAACACTGTATTTTATAAGAGCTAGGTTTGGAAAACCCTTATTTTTGTATTTTTGTTGCATTCAAAAGGGGCTCTGCACTGCTTTTACTATGAAATGTCAGCTCATTAAGGAAAGTGAAAGGCTTAGATAATGTCTTATTTAGCTGGACTGAGCCACAAAAGACTACAAATGTATAACAAATGCCTGTATACCTATATAAGTGTGATATACTGTCAATGGTTACAAACTGGGGTCAAAGACACTAACGGCTGCTTTATGGGAAATGTAGGATCCAGCATTTTCCCATACTAGAAACTAAAAGCCAAAATATCTCAACTTCCACTGCTTCCATTTTAACATCGTTTCAAATCTGTTTCTCATCTGTTTCTCACTTGTGTCGTTCTTGAGGACATTGTGTAATACATTTACTGATTCTTAACCATCACTTATGAGCTAAGCTTTTTATCTGTTTTACAGTATTTTTGTCATGCAGATATCAGCTTGCTAGAAATGTTGCAGCAGCAGTTGAGTGCTAGGCCTGGGTAGTAGACCCTGATACTTTTTCAGCACAGACCAAAATGTGTTAGTAATATGTGAAAGAATCTGAAGCTGTCAAATACTGAAAGTTAGCGTTAAATTCTTTTTCAGGTTTTTAGTCTTTTTGACCAGTTGGACTATATAGTACCTGATTTAACTTATAATTTTACTAATTTAAACAAAAGAAATCTGGTCTCAAGTCATTTTAGAATGTTAAAATAAGTTCTTGAATGGCTGCTTCTGTTTAGACAACAGTAAACAAAAGCCCAAACCTTTAGACACTATGTTGCCTCCTTGTGAGGTTTCACTCTTACTGTACCTTGAAGTTGAGGTCATCTCCAGCAAGTGACAACATTCCCCTCATTCAACAACCCCAACCCCAGCCAGCATGCTTGTATCACCAAGTTGGATGTCAAGCATGCCCTCAAACCACCGTGCGAGGGAAAAAGAAAGTAGAACGGGATGGTGGAAACATCAGCGTGTTTATGAGCCACTAGCCCAGTGAGGGAGGTCTATTCAGCCCAAAGCTTCTAGCCATCTTACCTGAAACCCCCAGAACTGTATGTACAACTGACCAGGTGAACAGATGCAATGGATAAATGCGACATGACATTTGAGAAAGCTCAGAAGCAAGACGATCAAGCCGGTAAGTGAGAGCGCAAGCCAACTGCTGATTTGTCATCCCCAGCACTCATCAAGTCACTCATTCATTCATCAAAAGGTTTCCCAGGTCTTGACCATCTGATGCAAGAACGTGCATCTCCACCCATCCCACACACACTCCCAAAACAGCAGCGCCATCATGACATTGTACTGTGACAATGACTCATATACTTTAGAAACACTCTTGTCTTTTGTGGCAGGAAGAGGCAGTGATGCTGTGAGATTGCATTGAAAGGGTGCGCCATCAGGGATTGGTTCAGAAATCAGAGGTTTAAGGGTGGTTCTACTGCAGCTGTGAGTCCTAATCATGAAGACCATCTAGTAGAAAATGATTCCAAAGATTTAGAATGTGTAAAATATGTGATATGATGTATCTGATATGTTCAATTTCCGTACAACTGGGCTATATTCCATTCACTTAACGTGTAAATCATAGACGGAACAACTGTATTCAAAGCCAATGATGACCTGAGCATGTTGAGTGGGCTTCTTCAATCCCTGACAGCACACAGCAGCAGACGGACAGCAGCTTATACACACAGAGGAAAGATAGAGAGATGAGAAAAGAAAGAAAAACCGCGTAAACAGCAGTTCAGTCCAATAGCTGCTCTGTTTTTACTTAGTTTCCGACCTTTTGTCTGTTTCATATCATTATAAATATAATAATCTGGGACATTTTAAAATGAGTTTAAACTAATCTTAATTGGACACAACACAATCAGTAATCAAAAAAACTATTAGTTGCAGTCTTATGTGATTGATCCTCTTTAAATCATCATTTTTGACATTCAGCAATGTTATATTGATATATTGGCAACATTGCTGATCTTTTACAAGCACAAAAGCTCATTCTTGACTTGGAAATAATTTGACAAACAACCGCAAGGTCCAGCAGGTCTTCATCAGCAGATGGAGTTTGCCCTATTGTCATGGAAATTGATCCGTTGACATGCAAGCTAAGCAGTTGTCATTTCATCCCTGACATGATATAATAATATATAGCATACCTAGATGATTTACACAGCAGTATTTACTGAGGCTCAATCAAGGATAAAGATCGGCAGTACAAGTGGAGTTGCTGTGTACATGCCAAACCAATTCTGAAGGTTACCTCCTTACAGGGGATATTTAACACAACAGACACATAAGATCTAGTGTCCCAAATATGGTCACAACTTACCCAGCTGAATGTGTGTGAAGATCCAATTAATTATTTGCTCAAAACAAGGAACTATGATTATCTATCCTAAATCATGCTGAGTGACACACATAGCCACATAAAACAAATTCTAAGAAGGAGATAGTCAGTCTGTAAGATTAAACCTAGGTTTCTGTAACAAAGTAGGACTGTGATGTTTGTGCCCATCTTTATCAGTCCAGCTGCCCTGTGCATTCACTTGGGCAGACAGTCAGAGACTGTCTTGGTCCTCACAGTGGCATGGGGACCACTATAGCATTTCTTTCTAATGGAAAGAAGGAACATTTATTCACAACATGTCAACAGACCCAGCCCCATAATAAGGATTATCAGCCCCCTGATAAAGATTGTGTGATATGGTTGAAAGCTCCAGAAAAAGCTAGTTGTGGACCTTGAGTTAGGATTGTTTTGTCATCATGGTCGTCGTGGAGTTTTAGAAGATCTGTCACTCAGTATACTGATACCAGGATTTGGATCATGAATCGTGGCTTCAATCTTTTGTCAGTGTTAAAAATGGATAGAAATTGGTCACTGAAAAAGCCGATTTATTTAGACTACTATTATTGTATACCCCTTGAAAAACAGTACCGGTGACCTCAGTGGCAGGTGAAGCCATGCTCATACGAAGTGGCGGTACTCAGTAAGAAATAAGGATACTCATATGTGGACAAAAATCAGAAGTGTGGTACTCAGTGCTGGTGAGTACTGTCCCATTTCAGGCACTGAAACATACTGAATGTTTATATAACCATATTTTTGGCTAAACATTGTTTCCTTAAAGCCCTCCCTTTACCCCACAAGGGTGTAAAAGCTTAACCCTATGGTGTTAAACTAGTGCAGCAACTCCCCCTGCTGCCTGCCAGTGTGAGCTACAGGGACAACACTACAGAGGTGGACTGCACTGCTGCTTAGTGTTAGAAAGAAGAGATAAAGAGACAGATATGGAGGATGTGGGTGGGGAAAGGCAACAGGCAGACACACTGTGCTTCTCATTCCCCATTACCTAGACCTGTAGCATCAGTAAAGTTTTCTGCCAACAAAAAAAGAAGGGGAGATGGGAGAGAGGGGAGAGGTGTAAGAAAGACAGAGGGACAACAAGAAGGACAGGGACAAGGCTGCAAGGTCGGTTCAACAGATTGAACACTTACAGGATCACTACAGGGTTCTACAGGTTAAATTTAAGATTATTTAAGACTTAATCCAATCAATTATAAGACCTGTCAAAATCATACATGCAGACACCCTGTACTCGGATAAAACTAATGGTATCTAACCATGCAGCATGGTCCAGCATGGCTAGGTACCCCTAGAAGTTTTCTAAATTTGGGTAAACCAACCCTTTAAAACAACCTCTAAAGTGTTATTCTTGACAGTACAGCACATGATGTACCTCAAAAGTCACTGGTAGACCCTGTGTGTGTGTGTGTGTGTGTGTGTGTGTCATTATGTAGCTGATAATGTCTTCCATCAGAGAAAGAGAAGTCCTTTCTCCTTCTGATACCCTAACAAAGAGGCCTGTGTTTGCTAAGGGGCTCCGACCTCTCTCACTTTCTATTTCTATCTCTCTGTCTTTCACACACACAGGTTCCAGTGATTCACAAAAGCAGACTTTAACAATGTAGACACATTATCGAACCAACCTAGTTCCCATGCAGCCAAAAAAGGCTGGAAATTGTGTAATTACATGGCAAAAGATCTGT